TGCAGTGTGGTGGGGGGCGGCCCGAGGGGCTGGGAGAGGGTCGGGCCCACGCTGCGCCTGGGCTGGGACTGGTCCCGCCAGCGCAGGGTAGCAGGAAACTCCTCTTTCAAATTATTTTTTATCAATATTTGAGCTTTTATTGGTTGGGGTGAGGATCAGTACACATGATTTGTTTTGTACACAATTCTTAACACACATACCCCAAAGAACCATGTATTGTTTTTCAGTTATTCCAAGGACTTTCCAGCTTCAAATTTAGAGGCAAATTTTCTATAAAATGATTAAGTACTAGTATCTTCAAATGCTGACAAATTGTTATTTAAGTCACACCAATTCACAATTTTCTATGACATGCAGTACATATTGAAATTTTTTATGTCTCATAGCACACTAACAAAATGAGGTGAACCAGGCTACCACTACCAAAGGTTTTACAGAGTGAACACAATTCTAACAGGGCAACCATTAGGAACTAGTTTTCTTTAGGAAAAAATTCTACTAAAAACATGTGAATAGAAGTCATTTAAAATGTCCAAGACATATTAAATGCATGACTGTAATTCCAAATTTCCATTTTGTATGCTTCGTATTGCAGGATATAAAACTAACCCTCACCTAGGGAGTGTTAAGCTGACATCCAAGACAGTCAAAATCTGCCATAATTCAATATCTCACTATTTCTTGTTGTACCAAAAAATAAACAAACAGAGAATGATTTCACCTCTGTATTGGTCAGGTTTTCCTTAGAGGAACAGATATAATACAAGGAACAGATATTAACACAAGAAATCACTTACATTGAAAAATGTGATGAGGTAGGATTCCCTCCTTTTATAAATGTTTCTAGAGCTACTAAAAAAACTTGCATTTACAAAATAGTTGAGAAAAATATTCCTCTGGATTGTATAAGAAGGGAGACAGGGAGCACTGTTAAGACGTAGTATGTGATTAATCAGTCTTCGCTTCTGTCTCTTATGCTTCATTAGAGGCTGCACTCTCCTCATTTAAGGTGGTACTCTTTCTCCATTTTCTACAGGTAAATCTTCCTTGGTTTCTTGATTAGTCACTTCAACCTATTTTCCCTTGGCTCCCCTTTTCCGTTTTTCTTACACTTTTTTTCTGAAGATTTATCCTTTCTAGCTGCCTTTTTTGCATTTTAAATTCATTTTATTTTTTATTAATTTTATTGAGCAAGAAATAGCAATGAGGCAGTTTCAAAACAGGGGAGTAGGAGAATTACAATAATTAATATATTGCATGTTGCTGTTTTCATAGTGATTATTCATAGTACAAGATGCAGGCATGATATCTTGTCTAAACACTTTTAGTATAAAGCTTCTTATTGAACTAAGAGAAAGTAGATGAATACTTATCCTATTATATATTTTTTCCACTACAAAGTGGACCTTCATTTATATCCCCCCCTTTCTTTTCTAGTTTTGTCAGAGATTGGTGTTCCATTACCATTCAAATATTGTAGGTGCATGAACTCAGGAAAATAATCCAATGTACTCCAATACTCCATAATAGTACTGGGTTATCTGCAGAACTGGCAATGAACTCCAGCTGCCTTTTTTGGCTTCATTTCCACTTTAGCAGGAACAGGTGTAGCCGACAATTTCACTAGTCTCCCCTTGGGTTCCTCCTTAGCCTTAAGTCCCTTCTGCCAAGCTGAACTTGGGCATCTTGCTGACAAAGGGGGTGCATGCAGAAGCTGAGGGCCAAGGCACACAGGAGCCTTGTGGAGTTACATAGCAAAACTGCTGCCATTCCTCCTATAGCCAGAACTGCTGGGATCCATGGCTGGGGTGGTGGGTGAACCAACGGAAGCTCACCATTTACTTTTTTTCTTATTTAATAATTTTATTGAGAAACAAATAGCAATGAAAGTTTCAAATCAAATTGGTAGGACAGCTTCAATAATTAGCACATTGCATACTTTCTTCCTAGTGGTTATTTGCTGTACAAGATGCAGACATTTTATCCTATTTGCAAACAGTATTAGAACAAATTCATCTATTCATTAAGAGAACGTAGCTAACCATTTTGAATACACAGATACAAAATGGACTTTCATCAGTATACCTTTTTTTTGTTTCATTCCGTCATTTGAATATTATAGGTGTGTAAACTCAGCAAAATATTCTAAAAGAGTCCAGTAGTGCATAAAAGTATTGGGTATTCCACTTGACTAGCAGTGTCAGAAATTGATGACCTGAGTTCCCTACAGATCAACAAAACACCATGGCTTTACTACTTATTCTTCATTATTATACTTTTCTGCTGGATGGCTAAGACCAAGATAAAGCAAGACCTATGCAACAAGAGTTGTAGCTTTTGGATCTGATAAGGTTAGTGAATCCCCTCAAGATTTATCCTGAGATCCTGTACTTCAGATTGTGGAACTTTTGTCAGTGTGAGCCATTTGAATGAGTCATGGCAATTACTTGGCCAATTTGCTCCCTGTGAAAGCCTGAGAGAATGTATTCTCTTCATATGATACTCCTTAGGCACACTCTACATCACTGATCACTTTCCCTTTGGCCCCATAATCTTGATCAGAAAATTTGGGACACTACTGAGTTACGTGGTGTTAAAGTA